CCTCTGTCCCGTCTTTTTTTAGGGTTAGGTTTTGGGTTTTAGGTTTTGGGTTTAGGCTTTAGGTTTTGGGTTTTAGGTTTTAGGTTAAGAGATGTTTTGGGTTTTGGGTTTTAGGTTTATAGGTTTTAGGTTTGGGTTTCAGGTCTTGGGTCTTCGTACGGCTTCAAAACCGCCCTCCCTGGAGTCTTTGCTGTTTGCTGCCTCTTTCGGGATTCGGTTTTCGGCTTTCGCTATTCGGTGCTCGGCCCGTCCTCGGGCTGATCTCCGCATCACGTCCCGCCCTCATGACTTGCCTAGCCAAACTTTGGTCACATTTGGATAGGAGTGGCGACGTGCACTTCACTTGCTGCAGACCATGATCCTTGAAGAGCTCCAGCCAGCCATTTGGATATCTGGAGTGTTGTCGTTGACAACCCTTTTATTGTAGTGTGCATGGGGCATGTCATAGGCTGCAGGGAGGTTGAATAGTTGGGCATGCCACTCCGTAGTTCCAATCTCTCAAGGACACCATCAGTTACAACAGCGTGATCAATGCTTGCGAAAAGGACAGTGCCAATTGTGTTATGAGGTGGTAGCTGGGTTTCAGTGCTGAAGATTTGTGTGAAGTGCAGGATGGCCAATGGCAGCAAGCTCTCCATTTGCTGTTTGCAATGAAGATCGTGCAATTGGAGCCCGATGTCATCAGTCCTTGAGCGATGATGAGGGAAGTCTAGGTCCACAGCACAAGGGGAGACAAGAAAGAGAGTGGTCACAGGATATGCGCAAGCCAATTGAGGCTTCAGCTCCTCTCTCAGCGCCTGTGCCAAAGAAAGTCGCTGGCTGACAGCTTTGCAACACCTCCAATGGATGCGATTGGCCCAGGCCAGAACGAAGCCACATTGGACAGCAAGAATCAAAGCTGATTGCAGAGACTGGTCTTGACGCGTCTTGACCTTGCAGGTGATCCCAAATGTGGTTACATTCACAGCTGCAATCACTGCATGTGAGGGCCACCTCCCAGATGTGTCGCTCGCCCTCTTTGATATGATGTTCCAAGTGCTCCCTGGCAAAATTAGCAAGTCTTGGAAACCCACTTCTTGCGAGCCTTTGTCGATGAGCCGAGTGCATTCCAGGCAAATTCAGCCAAATGAAATTGCTTATACTTCCGCAATCAGTGCATGTCGGGACCTTGGTTTTTCTTGAGTCAGAGTGCCGTTGCCAGTCATAGGTTTCCAAGAGCCCTGTGAGCCTTCTACAAGAACATTCGCTGCACGGTGTCGACCAACAACTCTGTCAGGTGCTGCAGATGATGACTGGTGGGCTGCTTGCTCCTTGTTAGAGGAAATGAACACTGTAGCTTTGGAGCCTGGCATCGTCAGCCGCCCAGCTCAAAAGAAGCTCAGAGGCGTAGGAGGTTCTGCCACACCACGGCAGCTTGGCTCCATCTGCTTGTCTCACAGACAGTGCTGGATGCAGTCACACGCCAAGGCTACGGCGCAGTTCTAAAGGCATTACCAGGAAGATGGCTCTGGGCGGCACAATTGCTCCGCAACGCCAAAGAGTTGACGATAAGGATGAATGAGGTGGCATGTGGCTGGGCACATATTTTCATTCAATTTTGAGCTGGAGACCGAGGTTGGATCCCTGAACGGCTTAATGTGGTGATGCTGCCGTGTTGGTTCTGTAATGCCAAGGTACCGCTGCCATCGCTGCCACCAAGAAGACCAAGAAGTGGAAAATGGTGCTGCAGACACTGCAAGATGTCATCGGCACGCACCTGGAAGCTTGCCAGAGCCGGGTGGAAAGTGGGACGGCGTTTGGCAGCGGTTTCGAATCCGGGCTTACAATTCTTTTGTGCTTGGCCCTTCAAAGTCGCATGCAGGTCCAAATCACATCTCAGTCGATACTTGAGCTGAAAGGCCACGCCAAAACAGGTTAAATTGTTAATTTATTGGCGAGTGCTGTGAGATAGGGCGTTTGAAATGGCTCCAGGCTGGCAAACATTGGCAGGGTTAGGTACCACTAAGGTATTTGAGCAGCTCAGTGACGGCAGTCTTCGACGCTCAACTGGTTCATTTGCAAGGGTTGCCCGCGGCTAGGGAGGGCCTTTGTTGGAGGCAACAATGAGGAAATATGCACTTCAAGGGCCCCTCCCTGTGCGCAAGGGCAGGCTTGCTGGAAGCTGTTGTGAAAATCAAACGCGCCACCAAGCAACAGACTTTGCGTGGACTCAGCTCAATTTCGCTTGGTTAGTTGAAAGTCCATGTTCAATTCTTGCATCCCACTCCTAACGCCCAGTGTGGCTTGGCTGTGTTGGCTTTTGTTCCCCCCTTCTCAGGTGTATGCACTATGCTTGTTGGAGTGAGGAGTTAGTGAAGCTATCGCAAAGGACTTCCACCCAAGTCAGGCAAGTTTCGTGGTGGGTGCCGAAATCTTTTTGCAATGCCCGTGCGCAGTAGGATTGCCTTGCATGATGGGCTTGCTTCTTGAATTCACTCACCCGACCTGACCTGCCTTAGCATCTCCAGCCGATTCTTCTTCTTCTTCTTCTTCTTCTCGAGCTGATGCACCAACTGTGGGCTGACTCCCCCACACTGATGCCCTCAGTTGGCACCCCAACTTGTTGCCATACCTGGTGGACAACCTAGCGAAGCCCTGTTGGCAACCCACTGCGTGACAGGCGGCTTCCCGCAAAATGACCCTTTGACACCCTCAGGCATGCCATATAGTGTAGTGTAGCTTTTGAACAGGTCACCCGAACGGGCAGTGCCTTTGCAGACCTTTTTGCTCGCAATATCTGCTACGCTACTCGTATCAGCAAGTCATCACAAACTTGGAGATCGGAGAGCCAACAGCCATCCCCGAGCTCCCTTTTGCGGGCAGCTTGCTGGATGAAAGAGCAATTGAGCAAAGTGCAAAAGGTCAGCGCGCCGCTATCAGCGCTCACGTTTTTATAAGAATTAATGATCATTGTCATTCTAATTGAAAAACGATACAATACAATACCAATCCCAACAATGATCCCCAGCATTGTGACTGAACACATTTTGGCATCATGTTGATTTTCTATTTGCAGCCTCTCCCATACCTAGAAACTGTGTATATGACAGCCGCCGTGTCTGACTGGGCCCCTTCTTGGATCTGGGGCGGGTGGAGAGGATTGGAGAAGAGACCATGAGGTAGAAATCGAGGGCTGTATATGAATATCAGGATGTGTCTGAAAAGATGGGGATCCCAGGTGTCGTGCCAAGATTGTGACACCCATGGTCTCGCTTGCTTGCACCTACTGTATTGGCTTGCCTTTGTGCTAGGCATGGTGCAGTAGCCAAACGGGAACGTCGGCGGGAGAAAGCACGTGGGTTTAAAGCGAGCGTCCACTCTCACCATTTGCAAGCTCACTGCAAATCTTGCACTCATGAAGTGCAAAAGATACAAGGTGACGGAGGTATTGCATCACTAGCATCATTACTACCCGAGAGTAGTACGCATGGCTAGTCCAAAGGCGCTGAGACGAGTCCTATGATTTTTCTCGAGACCACTGCTTTCAGTTTCAATTACCTTGTTTTGACATTTCAACATGGCAGAAATATGGAGACGCCGCGGGTAATGAACCAATGATAAAAACCAAATGCCGGCAGCAGCGGGGACAGCAGTCCAAGTACGAAACCCAAAAGGAAGACCATGGGCTTGGGTAACCATATCCGCCACAGTAGTGAAGGTTGACCCACCAGGAAGAGTTTCAACAGTTTACTGAACACGGCTAAAAGAACTAGGTGCACACATGGACATATATAGAGTACCTCGTGCTAGCCACTTGCGGGGACTAGCGCGATGATTCGCCAAAGCCACTGCTTTCAGTTGCAATACCTTGTTTCGACACTTGGATCACCTACAATATACACATTCTGTTGTTGTGGCCGTTCGTCGCCCTGGTAACCCCTATTCTTGGGGCTATTCCCGAGGTGGGGCTCGTGGCCGATGGTAAAGGACAGCGGCCCAAATCCGGGTGCCGGCCTGGCCGTGCCCCAGCCAGAGGTAACTAACGAGCGCGCCCCCTTGACCTTTTCAGCCCGACCTCCGCCCGACGTCCGGTCCCCGTCCGGTCGACCTCCCCCTTGCAAATTTACGGTGTATTCTGCGTGTGCTGTTCACAAAGCACGGTGTTTTACAAGGTTTTGTGCGCGTGGAAGATGCAAAGTGTCGATGATGGAGAAATGCAAAAACTGTGGGTTTTACAAGGGTGGTGTCGGTAATGCGCGCCGCGCGGACGTGCATAATCTGAATTTTTTTGGTGATGGGCCCTTGTCAACATAAATGGCGCAAAATGTGCCCCAAGATGACCTAACAGAGGCCCCAAGATGACCCAACATAGGTCCAACATATGCCCACCATAGCCCCAAGATGGGCCAACATAGCCCCAAGATGGGCCAACATAGGCCCAAGACGGGCTCGACGTGGGCCCAAGATAGGCCAACATAGGCCCAAGATAGGCTCAAGATGGGCCAAAGATGGTCCAACATAGGCCCTAGTTGGGCCAATATGGGCCCAAGTGGGCCAACATAAGCCTTATATGGCCCAAAGTATACCCAACATGGGCCCAACATCGCCCCAATAGCGCCCTGCATAGCCCAAAGGCCTGGCCCCAACACCACAGCCACAACCAAAACCACTGGCCGCGCCCGGCTGTCAGGCGTAAGCCTTTAAATAGTCTTTCACTTTCTGGGAGGTCTTGGTCGGGGAGGCTGACCTTGCCGCTTTTTTCCGATGGGGGTATACCAGCCTTTGTTGTCGTGCGTGCTGTTGGTCTGCACCCATTACCGAAGGAAGCCGGCTTCATGTGTATAGTGCGGAGCACCTCCAAGGAAACCTCCTCACCTTTCCTGACCTACGCGTCTCCGTCACCTGCGTGTTCCTGGCTTTCGTTTCCCTCTCCCAGTTTGGCATCCCAAAAGCGATATTTACTTGGAATCTAGTCTACCTTAGAACTTGCACCCAGGGTGCCCGAGGGCCTTTGTGAATCATAGTGAAGGAATTGCCGAGCTGGCGTTTTCGTTTCGCCCTTTGCGATCCACCAACACCATGCGATTTTCCAGTTCCACAGCGCCCTGTCCCTGTGGGAGTTGATCAAAAACATCCGAAGACTTTTGTAGGGAGTGAATGGCCCTCCTTCCTGAAAAATCTGTACTTTTGCTTATCGCGAAATCTATTGAATTAATTCCAGCCAGCACATGCCGGTGAACATATGCAATAATCGCAATACGTTCCTTAGAGGCGTGCTTCGCGATGGGCCCCGAAGCGACAGATTCGTATTACCAGTCTTGGAGAAACGGATTTTCTTTGATCAGCCACCATTCATCATTGTTGACATTGACACGAATGTTAATCATTAACCCCCACCGCCGGAACTCCTATCATCATTGCAACATGAGTTGCCCCAAGCAGAAGTGTGCGCCCGACCACAAACCATGACAAGGGCGGCGTACGAGCGGCCTCTGCAATGAAGAAGGCCGACTCCAATGGGTCCGGTCGTTTTCTCATTTTGCCTGGTTTATTCGGCTCAAATGCCAAAGGCTGGCGGTGATTGGCAAAGTGGCCAGTACCTGTAGGTTGCACTTGCATTCAAGAGGTGCATGCATTCGGTGTCTACCTGTGAAGGTACCTGCGTATGAGTAAAAAATTTGATTCATGCAGCCGATTCGCAGTTCGTGGGGGACTGTGTTGCCCAGCAAAAAGAAGGTGCAATCATGAGCTACAGCTAGTGATGACAGTTACAATAAAGGTGCCCCGGAGTTGCTGAGTCTTTGTTTGTATTTGCATTCTAGGGCAGTTGATGGCGGCTGGGTTCTGAGGACATGGATTTGGCAAGCATGGCCATTACCTGCATCGAGGATCAATGGCAGCATGCTTTGAGATTTGTGGGCCCTCCAGATGCAGCTTCAAGTGTGGGGTGCAGGGGGGGCGAATATGCCTGTAGAGAGGGCGGTTCAAACTGCTTTAAAGCGCTTTGGCTTTTTCAATTCCAGTCTGAGTATGTCTGAGTTTTACCTTGCAGCTGCAGCTAAGGTGAGGCACGACCTCGCAGTCTGGAAGTGGACACTTCGCGAGCATTTTTGATGCATCTTGCGGAGAGTTGTTTGGAGCTTGAATTTGGTCCTTGGGGCAGAGATGAAGAAGCCATGAGTTGAAGGGTGGGTTGGTTTCCCCAACAAGGACAAATGCGGTTTGGCTCCAGCGTGAGAATCTTTGTCACTCCTGCATGGGGATACTTCCCTCAAACTTAGGATCTCGTGGCTCAGAACGCAGTCCTCAGTGCATGCGACCAATGGTTCAAAAGCATACAGCTCTTCAATGATGCACTGTGAAGTCCCCAGTCCATTTTGCACAATTGACGCAACAGGTCTGCGCACATACCACCACATGCCAAGCAGTTTGATGTCACTCATGAAACGGACGCAAGAGGCCACTGGTACGATCATGTGTGACTCAGTAATTGACCTGTATCAATTCAACATGTTTTGCATTGCCAAAAGCATCTACACATATACATGACCCGTGGCCACTACACATGAAAGAGGCCAAACCGCCTTATATTTTCTCATAATAAGGTGTGTCCAACACTCACCGGAACGGTCGTTTATTGTTGCAGCTTTATAGAAGCGGCTGAGGCCAGCGCAGGGATTTGAGGTTGATTTGGTGTCCAGTGGGACTGTCTTGACTAGCTATGCACGAGGCAGGAACTTCGCTTTGCAACATAATTGAGAACAAGAAGCTACTAGGAGCAAAGGGCATCGCTACTAGGAGCAAGGACGCTACTAGGGGCTCCTGGCCTTACTGCTAGGAGCAAGAAGCTGCTGGGAACAAGAAACTACTAGGGGCTCCTGGCCTTACTACTAGGAGCAAGGACGCTACTAGGGGCTCCTGGCCTTACTACTAGGAGCAAGAAGCTGCTAGGAACAAGAAGCTACTAGGGGCTCCTGGCCTTAGTACTAGGAGCAAGAAGCTGCTAGGAACAAGAAGCTGCTAGCTACTAGGGGCTCCTGGCCTTACTACTAGGAGCAAGGACGCTACTAGGGGCTCCTGGCCTTACTACTAGGAACAAGAAGCTGCTAGGAGCAAGAAACAATTTCCAAGGTTGACGTTGCAAAGCGTTCCTTGACACTTCCTGCTGAACCCGGAGGCTGGAATTGGCAGCGTACGCTGCACTTGTTGGCATGGATGAGATCTAGGCTTGGCCTGTGTCATGTTCGTCACATGGGACAGACAAGGGTAGCAAACAACCATGTTGGAGCTGTTTGAGGATGTTCAGCACACAAACATCGGTGTAATGTAGCCCATTTAATTTGGAAGGATTTTGCTTAGGGTCTTCCTCGCACGTCAGGCTTCTCGACACAGAAGACTGTACCTACAATGCCGCAATTAGTGCATGTGAACATGCCCAGCAGGAAGTGAAATTAAAAGATCCTGCGCTTCTTTGGGTGGTAGGTGGGGTGCATTCATGTCGGAGTGTCTTGAAGCAGCAAGGCCCTGAAAGATGGGCAACGTGCCATGTGGTGTACTTGTATCCACCGAATCTGTATGTATATAAATGATCGTCGCCCGTCGTAGTGCGACCGCGAGTGCATTGAAGAACTTCCTTTGAGAGATGAGGAGTCGTGCTTGCTTCACATCTCTTCCGCCATTTTGCAAGTGCCTCAAGCAAACAGCGTGTCTGCAACCAGCACTCTTGCGCTTCATCGCTCAGCTCCGTCATTGCCATGGCTCCCATTGATGCATCCTCCATGGATGAGGTCATGCAAATGCAGCTGAACAATCGTTCCTTGACCGCTGTATAACAATATACATGTATGTATATATATATATATATATTCAATTCCAACTGGTTAAACCTCCATCCATCCCAACTTTGCCTAGAATAATTCCATTGAAAGAGTTTCCATGCGTTTCGTTGTCTTGGACACCATCAGCCGCTTGTCCTTTGAGGAGACTGGCCGGTCCTTTGCGCTGAAGCTGAGTGGGAAATGGTCGATGAAAATCAGGCAATGGCACTGGTTGCTTTCCCGGAAGAGAACTCAGGGCCCACCCCGATCTCATGGGCGGCACGATTGCTTGGTGCTCCAAAGAAGTCACAAGTCTCAGCCATCGAGGGCAAGGTGCAAGCCACCAAGGAGAAAGCTGTCAAGAGCCAAGTTCAGGTGGAAGAGCAAGAGCTCCCGGATCCCAAAGAATTGGCACGTGAAGCACGCTCCAAACATGTGACAACGGGTGGTGGGCAGACGCTGCGCTCCAATACTCAATGCGAGTGGAAGACAGTGGTAGCCGAAGAGGATGATGACGTCTCACATTTGCAGATGCTGCGCAAAGCCCCAGTTCGCGAAAGAGGGAGTGGCAAATGCCAAGTAAAAGGCAAAGCCAGCAAAGCCATGAAGAGCACGAAGAGTGCAGACCAAGACCGGGACGGCAAGAAGGTTCAGGAACACCCACAGAGCAAGAAGCAGACAAGCCGCATCGACATTCGTGAAGGTCTCAACATCATGGGATTCGCCTGAACGCCACAGGCGTTGCTCAGATGTGCGTAGCGGCTACGCGGTACTTGAGCAAAGCTATATTTGTATTTCAAATCCTATTCTAAATAAAAAATGCATCCAATTTGCAGGTGCAGCGGGGTCACAGCAATGGAACACATGCAATGTCGCTATTCCAGGGCAGTGGCGCTGGCTGCAGCAGTTGTACAAAAGCGGGTGTAGTGCAATGGCCGGGTAGAGGTACATTCAAATTCTGTCTATGATAGGATAGGGATAGGAATCAAGCATCTGGCCTGCGATTCAATGTACAATCAAAATGTAGTTAATCCGCTGGAACAACTGGACTGCCAACATGCTTTGCACAACAGAATGGGCTTGAACTTGGATATCTCTTTGTTCTACACTACACCGCTGGAACAGGTAGAACTCCAATCTTTGCAGCACGTGGCCACCTGGTGTTAAAGCATGGTAACACTACAAACCAATCTGGCTAGTGCAGCTCTGGCAGCTGCGGACGGTGAAGACATCGAACAAATCAGTGAGACTACTCTCGGCCTTCGCATCACCCATTCGGCCTCGCGAGTGTTGCCCAGATCTTGCCGGCTCAAGCCATTTGCGCCTGGCCGCTGGTGATCTTGCGAGCCGAATCTCTGGAAAGCTGTCGGTGGTGCTTTGCGCCCTTTATTGACCCTTAGTGTTAAACAAAGGATATGCAAATGAACATGTGGCGCAAGTAGCGATCAGTCAAATCTGTGGTTTGATTTCGTCTATGTCTATGCTGATTGTTGGAGCTTGTTTGTTCTTAGCAATGTGCACAGTGCACGGCAGCTTTCACGAGATAATTGCACGATACCGTACAGGCTTTTGAAGACCTCAACCTCGCCCGGATTTTTTCTTCTCTTCCTCGCTGTTCCATTTTTTTGATAGACCAAGTCGGGCAGGTGTTTGGTCAACTAAGCAACTGGGATCAATCTCTTGGGGCACATTCCCAGATCTTTCTGTTGTCTCAGCAGCAGGCTTCGTGTTCAACCATTGCATGTCCAACCGTACACTCATGTGACCAATTGAAGACTTAATTCAGCCATTCGCACTTTCCAGCTGTTTCTTTGCCTTCCGCTGCAGCACGAGTGCCTTGCACGTGTGTCTTCCTGTGACAGCAATGTAGCTCTGGTTTCTTCGCAAAACTCGCACAGTTTTCGTCAATTGACACGAGAAAAGAACATCTGAGCGCCTTGGTCGAAACCAATGTATACAGAAATGGGCTTTGATTTGTATCGGTCGTGCTTCGAAGGTACTATACTACTACTGTATATCGAAAGAGATGTGCATCACCTCTCGTCTCAGCCCTATGTAACCAGGGCTGTCTCGCCGATCTGGCTGTTTCATCAAGCAACATATCCCAAACAGTATCCCAAACATCCAACAATAATATATACTAGCCATCCTACGCCCAGAAAGCTGACTGGTTTGCCTTTCATTGCTATCGTTGGCAATTCCCTTGATTTATTCCTTTGATTCCTGCCATGGTGTGCCCAACTCATGGAGAGGTCCGAGGCTGCGGAAGTTGACTCAGCACTTGTGGCTGAGGGGGCTTTTGGTGTGAGGGTGACTCTTTTGTATATTGCTTCTTCCGTTCGCCACTCTGAGCAGGCATGGCTTGTGCCAGAAGTGGATTTGCTGTTGTCCGGAAATCCTGGCAACGAAGATGCAGCACTCCTGGCTGCAAAAAATGCAAGTATCATCACGAAACACGTATGCATTTTCGTTGCTATTGAGATTGCTTTTTTCTTAATCCGCTGGGCCAGGTATACCAGCTCCTTTCCGAGGGCAATACGCTCACACGGTGGGCACGGCGGCCAGCCGAAGCCACTTGTGTGCTAAACGGCTTGGCCAAGTTAAGGTGGGAAGAAACATCCAGGAATGGATGGGACAGTGACTGAGTTGGTCACACACACAGAGAGCACATATACTGTACCTCTATTTGGACGTTTCCTGTTTTCAACGAGCACATGTCCGCTCGGAGTTGTCCAAAGTGGTTGGGGTGGATAGACTGAGCCCTGCCATGCGCATCGATCGCAGGCGTACCATCTTGGCACTTCAAGTCCTGAAGGTCATGCAGATCCTTAGCTTACAACCATCCCATATGCTCCACTATGATTATGATGCAAAATCAGGGTTGGGCGGACAGAGTTCGTTTTGTTCAACACATCATGGCTCGAAAGAACAAACCTGCCAACGTGCCTGGTTTTGTGGGAGCTGGTTTGTCATTTTTCTTCCAAAACCTAGGCGTGCCGGTGTGGAGGTGAATGTTTTCCACTACTCTTCTGCCGCATCAGCATGCGAAAAGACACTTTGGCTGGAAAGGGTCAAGCAATTTTCCGAGTTCTTCAGTCTTGAGTGAGTGCGCCGTCGCTAATAGCGTGGAGGCGTAGGGTTGAGGCCATCGCTATTGGGGTGGAGGCCATCGCTACTAGAA